CTGTGGAACGACGTATGGAACTTGCACCAAGGCATCTCTCCGTCTCAGAGAATGCGTGCGCTGGCTCTGGAACGGATCCGATCAAAGCAGCCGCGGCACCTGAATCACACAACGGCTCGTTGAGTCTGTAACAGTCTCATCTAGTCACATCCAGTCGGGAACTTCACCTCTGTTGAAACTGCTGCAGAAGTGCAAGCCAAAGTCTAAGACCCGAAGCCTTCACTGTTGTGAGGCGCTTTCATTGTCATTCATTGCTACAGCCTCTTCAACACCTGCAACCCAGCCTTGTGCCTGAGTCTTTGAAGATGATCCAAAGTACGACGGACAGGATCCAGATCCATTAACACAGCCAGGGTGCCAGAGGTGAGCACAGCCTTAGGTGCGCCATCTGAGGGCCAGGGGCTTTCGCGCTAGCTGCGCCGTACTGCGGAGGAATTCACAGAGGGTAGCCAGGCCTGTGATGTTTGGCACTGGTTCCTGAATGAAGGTCCCCGTAACATCACAGACAAGTGGCCGAGCCCCGCAAAGACGGCTCCACCTTGTTGGCTGCCGGCACGAAGCTGGGGGCCAGGGTCAGGAAGGCCACCACGACAGCCAGGGGCCTTAGCCACTTGTTCTTGGATCCTTGCTTCAAACGACCCTGATAGGTTCGCGCTATCATTTTTGAGACGTTGGTGCCGTCTGAGAGCTGGCACTTGAGGCTCAACCGGATCTTTGGGGCTTGGGTCGCAGGGCGTGTGATGGTATTGACATCCAGTTTTGCTGCCCAGCGTCAGGAGGATCGTTGCAGATCGGAGCGCCATCTTTCGACCTGTCGCATGTCGAGTCTGCCTAAGTCCTAGACCTGCCTCTGCATGTCGTCTGAGCGAGGCTTGCAGACGAGATGCTAACAGGCAGCAAGGCTTGTCCTGAAGCTGCAATATCGCGTCTGCGCAGCCAGCCGCTCTTGAGCCCGAAGCAAACGCAGTGAACGCATGTCATGTGAACGCAAACCATGCTCCCTGCTGTCTACTGCCTCCAGTTCTTCTCTCTGGCCTCGGGACTTAAGAAGTGCACCGGAGGACTTTTGCACTCCGCCTGCTCTGCTCCTTGTCATGACAAAAACCTGATCTCACGAGCAGAAACATCCACCTCCAACTCACAGCTTTCCAACCTCAGCTGAAACACGTGAAACACATGGGGGCCTCGTTTGTGTCCCGACCCTGACCTAAAGTGCCAAGAGCTGCCTGTCCAGTGCGAAGCATGCCAAATGCCATTCGAGTGGCGTTGAACATGCGGACCAAGCCAGCAATAAAGAACCCGAGGAAGAAAATGGCAAACACCTTGATCCAGGTGTCTCATGCATCAGCTTCGGTGATCGCGAAGGTCCGGTGTTTTCCGTGACAGCATGCAGCTAGCGCGAGAGCGACTCCCCCTACATAAACAGCCTGCTCAGAAGCCGTGAACCGTTCAGCCGTTAAGCCCGTCGTCCTAACCTCTGAACTTGAGCCTCTGAGTCCGTAAGCGGCGTGCTGCCTTCAGTCTCTGAGCTCTCCGCCAAGCCGAACTGGTTCAGCTCCTCGTCCCAAGAATCAGCGTCGCTAGGTTTGAGGCTGCTGTGTCTGTGGAGGCAGCAGGTAAGAACTTGATCAAGTAGTCAAGCGTTGGGCCACGAATTTTGGAAAACCCACCCCCTCGCCGGCGAGCGCGTGTGCGCTTCGAGACAACCGGCAACCGCAACCTAGAAACCCAATCGAAAACCCCCACCCTCAATGCGACCTTACCCCTGATATCCCAGGATGCTCCGTCTCAGAGAACGCTTGCGCTGGCTGAGGGGCGGCGGCGACAAGCGCTGCGGCCACACCTGCACACAGAGCCCTGGTTGCGTCCCCACAGACGGCGCAAGCCGCCGACAAACTTCGGATTCGGGCGGCTGAGGGATACCGGATCCCGACGATATCCCGACGAGCTGCAATCACGCTGACTGGAAGCGATACTTTTTCTCAACAAGTCAACCCCACGGCAGGGAGTGGGCTGTTCTCTGAATGCTTCTGCGCAGGTCGGCACCAGCGTCACACACCCAACCCAAATGCCAAGCGAAGCCTGCTGCGGAGGTTGCCTGGGCAAAGGGCTCTCTGCTCCACGAAAACCGACGCGGCTGGCAAAATCTTCTCGTCTATCAAACACCTGGAAGATGGAAATGAAGCCTGATTCCCGCGAGCTATGCCAAGGCACCGCAGGTCCCCTCAGGGACGGCTCCGCCTTGTTGGCTGCCGGCACGAAGCTGGGGGCCAGGGTCAGGAAAGCCACCACAACTGCCAGGGGCCTTAGCGAGTTGCTTTGGGCTGCTTCTTGGCTCTGGCGGGATCTGGTGGGCTTGGCATTTGAAGACTTCTTCCGCATCTCTTGACAAATACTCCCAGCGATGCCGAGTTGCAGGACAACGGTGGATGATCGGAAAGCCATCTTTCACCTTCGGCTTGGGCCCTCTTATCAAGGCTAGCAGCGGCTAGCATATTGCCCCATGACGCGCATCAAGTGTGCCCGATTGCGGATCTGAGGCGAACCCCAAGCCCCAAAACCTGCACGTCACCCCACGGCGCCTTCCAGCAGCACGCTTCGGAGCCGGAGAGAGCAAGGAGCAGGCAGCGAACTTTCGAGCGAAACGGCGGCGTCCGGGAGCTTAGGATACCGGGGACTTGTGGGCCTGCGAAGGGGCGTCGAACGGCGTCACGGTGCAGCTGCTTGGCTGCTGAAATGCAAACAACGTGCCACTCGGCGTTTCTGCTGCAGCCTGTGCCAGCACAACGTACACGATCACAGCCTCCAAACGGACGACTCCGCCCGTCTGCAACTGCGGGGGGCCGTTCTTTGGCCCCCTCACGGCAGCAGGGAGTTCAGGAGGGCGTAAAAGGCATCGAGGCTACTCACCCGGCTTTGGCTGAGCCACCAAGTCTTTGACTGGCGGTTGGCCAAGAGCCTCGAACTTGTGTGGGAAGTGTCTGCCTTCGAAGGTAGGCAGATGAAGCTTCTCATGGTGGAGGGTGATGGATTTTCGTCCAAAAGCATGAGGCACCGAGCTTCTGAGGGGACGCGGCCCGAAGTCGGGAGAGCTCACACGGGCATTCTCCTTTAAGAGCCCCTCAATTTTCGCGACGGATCTCTTCAAGGACTCCTCCATGCTGGCTTGCAGGTGGCGCCTCGCCAAGCTCATTCCGCTAGGTACTGTTGCTACTGCATCGGGCTCTGCTATGCACTTCTTGGCCGGCGAGATGCTCCGTGCGCGAGAGCTCGCCCCTTAACTGACGCACGAGATCCTCCGAGTGCTGCAGGGGAGCCTCCTGGCAAGCAAGTGTGGCAAGCCAGATGCCGAAAAATGGGCCCCCCATAACGAAACACTTGCGGATAGCAGTCAAGAGCCAAATCAAGCCCTTCAGCATGCCGCATGCCCCTTTCACCGACTCCAGCTGAATGAGAAGGACTCCTCGACGTGCTCGACGGGAAGACTAGCAAGCTGCTTGCCAAGGTCTGCGGGGTCTGCCGGAGATTCTGTCCTTAGCCATGGGGCGGGAGTTCTCCGCATCCCTGCATGAGAGAATCAAATGAGGTCCAAGCATCCTGGGGTGGGATGGGAAGGGTGGGAATACGGGAGCGGAGGCAGCGGGCGGCTCTATGACCTCAGACTCGGCCATGCTGTGAACCTCAGCTCCGGCTCGGCATGGGCACCTATGGGCACAGCATGGCACGGCTCCTTTTCAGCCCAGGCGCCTCTGCAGCGCTTGTGCCGCTTCGTGGTGTAGCATTCCCCTCGCTGTCCCTCTCGTTCGGGCACATCTTGGAGGTCAGAGTGTCGAGGCGGTCCGAGAGACTCCGCAGGTAGAAGTCGGAGAGGTCTCAGGCCGGGCTCGAAGATGCGAATACCGGAAACATCTCTTCTCTAAGAGGGGGGACCCGACCCTTTTTGTCATAAACGCGGCTGCTATCTACATATATATTGCCAGGACGCAGAACAGTTCCTCCTGCTGTGCCTGCATCTTCATGAGGTTGTATTTGACGAAGCGCCTCCAAACTTGAATATCGAGCTTGAGCTTTCGGATCCAAGATTAGCAGCGTCATGTCTGAAACTGAAACGACTCTAGCCAAAGCCTCGGAAAAAGTCAGGCCCAAATCTCATCCTAGACATTACCAAGGCTTCACGAATCCGGCTTGAACAATCCAACACCCATTCCAACCCTTCCCTCCCAAACCCCTTTACGTGTCCACTCTAGGGCTGTATCTCTCTCACTCAGCCACAGAATGTACCAAAACTAAACGGAAGCAAACCCCACTGCCTTGGGCTTAGGGATCCTAGGATTTCACGGGTTACACGCAGAGGCTCAGTCCATGGCCCTCAGATTCCCCAACATCTCACAGCCGAGTCTCGGCGCTGTCTTCGAGTCCCTCGCCCATCTGCTCAGGGGCCCAATGAACTCCTTAGGGTTAGGAGCTTCGGAGTTTCTTCAAGACTCTGCCGGAAACCTTGGGGGGTACGAGCAAGAACCCCAAGTCCCTCATCCGGAGGCCTCATGGTGGATTCTTTTCACCCTCATAGGTCAAAGACATCTGGCGGTGATGACGGGGAGTGCGAACAAGTTGTGGTTGTCGAAACACTTCACGCAGGATTTGCATGCCCCAAACCCATTTAGGCCAAGCATCTGTCGGCTGGATCATTCCGTCTCCATTCAGGTCGACCATGTCGAAGAGCATCTGAAGATCTGCCTCGCGATCGCGCCGACAAAGGCTGGCTTAGTCACCGGTGTCACCGACACATCCACGGGCAGGGCCGGTGTCAGCAAAGAAAGTCAAAAACATCGGGGGGAGAGTCGGCAAACAGGAGAGGCGGAAGTCACAAAACCCTAAACCCTAAACCCCTAAACCCTAAACCCTAAACCCTAAACCCTAAACCCTTTGGGGGGCCTGGTTTTTGACATGCAGCCCTACAGATGTTGACTCGCAGCTGGCTGCTTGCTGACTCGA